TTCTCTTGATCCAACAGATGCATCCTAAATTGATTATACTAGAAATACGCTTCAAGAAAACTCATTAATTCATGCCCGGTCGTAGAATCGATCATTTTGTCAATGTTTGGAAACATGAAAGAATCTTTAGGACATGCCTTATTAAAATCTTTATAATCTATATACATTCTAAACTTATTATCCTTTCTAGGAAAAGGTACTATGTTAGCTAGCCAATCAGGATAATTCGCCTCACGAATTAAACCAATATTTAATAATCGAGTTACCTCCTCTTTAACAAACATGTTCCAGACCTCAACTATTGGCTGTTTCTTTTTCATTGGTGGGAAATTAAGGTCCAAATTTAACTTGTGGACAACCACGTCTAGTGAAATACCTGTCATATCAAAATAAGACCATGCGAAGCAATCGAAGTTAGCTTTTAAAAACTTAATGATTTTAAGACTGAGTTCGAAATGCAATCCCATTCCCAGGTAAACCTTTTTATCTAGGAACTCTGCCAACAAAGCGATTTGTTCCAATTCCTCTCCTGTCGACTTTGTGGCATATGCTTCTTCCTGTACCTGAAAGAATCTAGGCACCTGATAATAATCTGATGTCTCCTCCTCTCTAACACCTACCGGATCTGGAAGGGCAGCAAGCATCAATTCCTGTAGTTGTTATTTTCTCGTTCCTTCCGCTTTGCTGTTGGATAAGGTGACTACATTCATTTCCCTTACAGCTGGTTGATCACCCCTAATCTGCTTGACCCCATCCGGAGTAGGGAACTTCAGCAGTTGATGATAAGTCGATGGAACAACCTTCATCTCATGAATACGTGGCCTACCAAGGATCACGTTATATCTCATATCGCCATCCACCACCTCGAATAAAGTGATCTTCGTTACGCCTTTGGCATGCGTGGGTAGTAGAATCTCTCTTCGAGTTGTTACACTAGTTAGGTTGAATCCAATCAGAAGCTTTGTTGCCGGAGCTATGTTCCCAATTACCTTTGCTTGCTCCAAAACACTCAACTGGATGATGTTGGCTGAACTACCTGGATCAACCAACACACATTTAATTTTAAAATCTAAAACATTAAGTGATATTACCAGAGCATTATTGTGCAATAAAATAAGGCCATCAAAGTCTTCTTTCCTGAGGTAATTTCATCATCTTCTAATGTTTCTCGAACTCTCTTGCCTTGAGTTATTGATATCTTTGTCTTCTTTGCTGCCAAAAACGTCACTCCATTTACTTCAACTCCACCAAAAATCATGTTTAATTTTAAACGGGGTGAACCTGTGGTCGGTATGGTTGGTTCCGTAGCATCTCGATTCCTCCCATAATTGTTCTTGGCCAAATCACTTAAAAAATTTCTCTAAGATGATCGTCTTCGATAATGTTGCAACCTCTTCACAAACGATAGTCCCCGGTCTTGTGACCATGCATCCCGTGGAACTTACACCATAGATTAGGATCCCTTTGACTAGGATCTGACCGAATTAGTGTCAGAAATCTTGCCTCCTTGATGTTTCTCATAGTTGAAACCAGCTCTGCCAAACTAATATTGAAGTTGTAACCTGACAATCGGGGATATGCTGAATCTCAAGACCCTGTTGGTTCTTTCTCCTGCACAGCCCTGTTACTCCGACCACGATCTATCCTTTTATCCAATACAAACCTTTCTGAAGACCGCACATATTTAATTCCTTGCCCATCAGCTCTTTTATAAGACTAGAAACGACTCCTGGAAGACCTTCGATCTACATCTAAATCAATTCTAAATTTCTCCTGATTCTGATCGCGATTGGGACCTTTGGATAACACCGAAGAACTTAGTTGATCGTCTTCAGTTCTAAGTTTTTATTCATAACGATTAGAGACATCTGCCCATGTGGTTCCCTGAAACTCTAGCAGTCTTTCCTATAATTTCCTGGAGACATCTGAACTCAATGGATTGAGACTTTGATGAACGCTTCAGCTGCCCACTCATCTGGTACTACCAGCAACAGCATCCTCTCCTTTTCAAACCAGATTACGAACTCCCACAATAATTTTGATTCTCCTTGAGCAATTATGAATATATTTTCTTTCCTAGATTGGACTTTCCTCGTCCCAACATGAGCTATAATAAAGGAATCTACAAGAATTTCATAAGAGCCAATTGAATGCTCAAGTAAAAGAGAGTATCATTTTAAAGCACCCTTTGTTAGGGTTTCGCCAAATTTCTTTAGTAGGACAGATTCTATCTCATGCGAGGCCAAATCATTTCCCTTTACAGCTGTAGTGTAAGTTGTGATATGCTCTTGTGGATCCGAAGTTCCATTATACTTAGGAATATTGGGCATCTTGAATCTTCTTAGAATCAATTCCGAGGCGGCACTTGGCTTCAATGGCAACTGCATATACTTCTTTGAATCTGGCACGTTCAATAGTGGTGGTGCTCCCAGGATGTGATCTATCCAGGTGTGGAATTCTTTTCTTCATGCTGTTTAATTGGAAGCACGCTGGTAGGGGCTCAAACTCCTTCATTGGAATTATTGGAGGAAACCGAATGTGCTTGCTGGAGCACAATCATTATCCGGTCTTGCCTTGATTTTCTTTTGTTGCACTCTCAAAACTTTTCCGTTTCAACAACAGGTTCATCGTCCATATCATTAGGAGTTGGACTTCTCATATGCTGAGGGTTTCATTCTTCGCGAACTAGAATTGTGTCATCTCAGTCGTTGCGAGTTTCACTGCTTGAATTATCACGCTGGAACATATCCTCTCTGTCATTATTTGTTCCAACATTGAAAGAGTTGTTCACATAGTTAGTTGTCATATCCATTTATACTTTGACTAAAGAAAAGCGTCAAAATGAATTAGTAACAGATGAATGGAACAAAGTAATAACATAATTATAAATGTCTACGGCGGGCGTCAAACTGTCTACCCACAAAGTGGTACAGTTGAATTCGTAACGTGATTTATAGATACGTGAATTAATTTGATCGAAGAATATAAAATAACTAAGAACAGAAATAAACTGATTAAATAAACTTTAAAAAAATACAAGCCTGACTGTAAGATGAGCTTCTCCGAAAGCAAAAATAAGAACAATATGTAGAACAGAAAGAAAGAATGCAGTTATATAAATCAGCAGCTTTTTTGTGTACAGATATTTCCCGTGTCCAACAAAGAATACAAATTCTTCTTTTTATAGTTCAATTCAGGGAGGCAAGATCTCCAAATCAAGCTCTTCTTTAATACGAATAAAACCCTTCTTGATGGTTGTATATTGGTTGAGTATTAATGCAAAGATTCTTTGTAACGTCTGCTCATTGAATGCTGTCATTTTCAACCGATATCTTCCTTTCAGATCTTCGTATCCGGTTTCAGTGCCTTCGAACTTTATTCAGCACCGGTCACTTGTTCGTAACCGGTGCCAGTAATTTTCTGACTCATATCTTACTTGTCTTTACTTTTATGTTTCAACATATTGAGCATCCATGCACCTGTCGTTCATCAATTTTATCCCCCCTACAATATATGGTAGAGGTCAGCTTTCGTAGCGGGACGTACTCTAGTATAGATTTTCTTAGTGATCGTAACGTTCTTATTCTCTGATGAGGAGTTGTTGGTTGTGTTAGATTGAGGAGCTCGGACCATAGTGTTCGGTTAGAATTGAGTGGTTGGAGAGAATAATGTTGAAAGGACTAGGATGATGAATGTTTTACTATGGGATATTGTTTGAAAAGCTTTTAGGTTGATAATGGTTATTTATAGTAAGAGTGTTCGTCGGTTGGTACAGTACAATATTAGATTAGATATTCGTTTCGGTATTTTTGGTATTCGGTTTTCTTAAAATGCTATACCAATACCATACCTAATTAAATTCGGTGTGGTTCGGATTTTCTCCTTTCGGTTTATTCGGCCTGGTAACTTCGATGTGTTCGGCTCGAATATTAACTAGTGCATAAATCCATAGATTGTATTATTCCTAAATAAGATACTCACAAAGACGAAAATAAAACTATTATAATATAGTGGGGAAAAAAGAGATAAAAATAAAAAATGTTAAACCTAGCCGGGGGAAGGTTAAAACTTAAGTAAGCAACCAAAGAAAAGGGGGAAAGACAAGTACAGTGAAAACAAAGGTGGTAAAGATTAAGGAAGACAATAAAAATAACAAGAAGTAAAATTTAGAACTTTAATATTTATGTTATAATCAATAATATGTGTATTATGTAATTTAGTATATATTTCGGTACGGTATCGATATTTCTGTTTTTTATTTTTAAATATCGATTACCATTTTTTTAAACTTAAACCAAATACCAAAATTTCAAATATCAAATACCAAAATATTCAATTTCGATACGATAATTCGCTATTTTATCAAATTATGCATACCCCTAATTCGATATAGGGGAGATGTGGCCTTCTTTTATTCTTTATTTAGTTAGTGGAGTTGGTGGAGAAAAACTCAAACGCGCCTTCTCTCTATTTCAGCTGCTATCCTAAAACAGGATACTGTAATAAAAACACTTAAACATACGGTTAATTAATAAAAAAAATTAAATATATGATTAAAAGTTTTTGAGTTGGTGAAAGAGGGGTCTCCAAACACTTTCTTATTTCATTTTTGCCTCCTCTTTTCTATGGAAACAGTCAAACAGTGCTCCTAAAGCAGGACCTTTCTTTTTTTAAGCGCCACAATAACTTTTTGGGGTAAATTCAAAAACAATTCTTTAAATTCTGCTTCGAAACACTAACTTTCCTTATAGTTATAATATTATGCTTATATGTGTTATCTTGAGTTATTGCAACAATATAGGATAATACTTTCATCTTATTTTATGTAGAAGAGATGAATTCCTACTTATTAGAAGAGGGAACACAGGCACCTCTCCGTCAACGTGTCTGTTCCTCTAAATTTTGTAATTTGTCTTGGGGTATTTCCGTAATTTCAATAATTTATAGCTAAACCTTATTGCTGACTCTTTCTGCCGTTGGCCAACGCGTGGACTCCCAATTTCTCAAAGCTAAAAACTCAATTCAAAACTTGTTAGAGGCATCCACTCCTAAAATAAAAATAACGATCAAAGGAAAGAGGCCAGCATCAATTGTCCCAAAATCTAGTAGATCTCACGTAATAATTCAACGCAATTTGAGCAATCAACCTTTTTCGATTCACGCATACCACAAAGAGCAGGTTTTTTTATTTTTTTATGCTTTTCTGTTTTACTTTTTGTTCTTCTGCAAAAAGATCAGATCTTTGGATTTTTGGCTTGATTAGCAATCTTTTTATCAGTTTAGTCTTAAGATTCGTTTCAGAAAGGTGAAAACAAACTGAGGTTGGGTTCTGATTTGTTCTCTGTTTTTATTAATTTGTTTATTTCGGATTTCTTATGTGAATTCGAAGTTCTCTTCAGTTTTTTTGTTTATTTTGCTACTTCCCTGAACTGTCTACTACGAGGATTCATCCCCGCTCTTCATCTGGTAGGAATTTGCATTTTAGAGAAAAAATCTGTTTGACTTTCCCTATTTCGAATTTACATAGTTGTCGAAGCTCTGAATGAATGGATTTTTGCTGCTTCGTTGGAATTGAAGAAAGGGGAGAAATTTACAACGGTGCTTACTTTATATTTTAGGGTTTTTTTACGAGAATTTATTGTGAAAATTGGTGTGGATTTAAGAATTTATACGGAGAATTTATTCTGGAAATTGGTATGTAGAAATTGTTTTTATTATTCTTTGTGGCAGGAGGGGGGGTTAGTTACGTTCTAGAGATTCTCTGTGTTGAAGATTTTCTGATTTTTACATCGAAATAGTGTGTTTGAGTTTCTAATTTTTGGTACAATTTTTTCAACTTTAGTGGTAATGCACTGCCTTGATCAAACCTTTATATCTAAGTTTTGAATAACGAAGCTTTATTTGGACGAAAATAAATGACATCTTAGTATAGTGCAAGTGCTACTTATGCTGTTTTCAAAGTATAGTCTACAGCAGGTTAGATTTTCTTTTATGCCTTTGTAAGAAATACTTATATTTGGAATGCAGAGTTGCCCAAAGAAACTTAAGAGAGTGCAACACCAAGTTATCTTTGTTTGTTGAATGACTATAAGCATAAGTATATTAATCCGCATAATCTTTTATTACCAAGGAATGTCAATTAAAAGCATTTTGCTACCTCTTGCCTTTTCATATACAAGTACGCAAGTACGCTAAACTTTGCTGAGTAGGCCAGCTATGATATAACAATCCACCTACAGATATTTCTCATTGCTTTTCATAGAATTTCATCTGCCTTCTATTCTGCTCTGTGAATATCAGTACTTCTGTTAATATCAATACTTCTACTGACTTCCGTATCTTCTCCTTTTCTTCTATCTCTCGATGGTTTTGTTTTTTGTCAATATCAATACTTCAGGTGAAACTCACTCCATCATTGTATCGACTATTCTTTTTATTTACTTTGCTTCCTATTTCCTCAGTAGCATAAGAGAAGAAGTTGCAAATAGATCACATCTTCAAATGATCAACCTTAGAGCAGGTTTTTTTATTTTATTTATTTTTTTCTGTTCTACTTTTTGTTCTTCTGCAAAAAGATCAGATCTTTGGGGTTTTTGCTTGATTAGCAATCTTTTCTTCAGTTTAGTCTTAAGATTCGTTTCAGAAAAGTGAAAACAAACTGAAGTTGGGTTCTGATTTGTTCTCTATTTTTATTAATTTGTTTATTTTGGATTTCTTATGTGAATTGTAAGTTCTCTTCAATTTTTTTATTTTTATTTTGCTGCTATCTACTTTCTTTAAAAGAATTGGTCTTTAAAAGACTGAACCCCGATGGATTGTTATCTTTCTATTATTTATCTCTAGAATGAACAACAAAATTTGTTACATAGGGTCCGGTGACGCCTTCTCTGATTTGAATGCTCTAAATGCAGTTATCTTGCGGTAATAAAATTATGAAAGAAAATGTCTTCCTATCAAAGAAACAAACGGCCATATGCAGAACATACAAACTCTGACAAGAATGTCAGAAGACGTGATATTTATGGGCAAATATCGCCTGATAAAAAAGAGGCAATGTTACTACAACGCCGCACCAAAGAACTTGAGCGGCAAAAATGGAATAGTTCCATAAAATCGGCAGTTGATCCACATGAAAGAGTAATGTATCAACGTCACCCTATGATTCGAAAACATACTGCTCTTATCATAAGAGAGGCTTCTTCTGTTGACGACGAAGGTTAGACTGAATTATTACTTTTTATTTACGTTATGTTAATGCAGCAGCAGACAGATAAATATTCATATTTTACTAAGTAATTATTTTATAAGCAGAGCAGGATATCACATGTTTACTTGAATATATTAAATGTAAATTCTACTTCATATTTGTCGCAGTTGGAAGCAACTATGATGTTAATACTTCCTCAAGTTCTTTTGATAAAGGAAAAAATGCCGCTCATGTGTTTTCTGTATTTGAAAGAGGTAAAGCTAGAACGTCTATGAACATCTTTGTTAGTACGCCACGGCTTAGGTGTACATCTAAATTGTGACAATTTGTGCCCCAGGATCAACATCGCATACATCTAAGGGACAACATAATGTCTTCGCTGCTGCCACAAGCAAAGGTTAGTATTTCTTTTACGCTAGAGTATCGCTATTCATTAGTAGAATATTTTCCATCTCTTTATTTTTAAAAACACTTATAATATACAGGTTGTACCTCGACCAAAGTAATCTATAAGAAAAATAATGACAAAGATGCGGATTATGCACGACTAAAACCTGTTCCAAACTGTAAATTTTGCAATGCAAAAAGGTTTCAATATGAACCTCCTGAATTTTGTTGTGGCAGCGGGTCAGTTAAGTTAGTTTCATATGAGCTGCCTAATGAATTATCAGATTTGTATAAAGCCAACACTGAAGAAGCTAAGTATTTTAGAACCTACATTAGAACATACAATAATATGTTTGCCTTTACGTCACTTGGTGTAACCAACGATAAAGATTTGGCGAGGAGATATCATGGTATATATACGTTTCGGGTTCAGGGACAAATGTATCATTTTATACCCGTTTTACTTCCTTCTGATAAAAAAGGAAAGAATATGCAGTTATATTTTTACGATAACGAAAATGAACTGGCTAACAGAATGGCTTGTTCAAGAAATATCAACGAATCAATTGTAAAGAAACTTATGCATGTGCTCTCAATTAATCCATATTCCATTTTTTTAAAATCCTTGACAAACGTTCCGAAACTATCTGACTGCTATATCGCGCTTAAATGTGAACCAAAGTCAGATCAACGTGTATATAATCTACCAACTACAACAGAGGTGGCTGGAATATGGGTACATGATAATGCTGCCGATACTGTTTCTACGCCTCATATTCGTATATACACACATAGTGACAAGATTCAGTCAGTAAAGTATTATTATGGATGTTATGACCCATTACAATACCCGTTGTTATTTCCATACGGTCAAAACGGATGGCATTTTGGTATTAAAAAAATCGTGCGAAAAGATCAGCGTTATTGTAAACATGAAGAATTACCGAGTGTAAAGAACATGTGTTCCATTGATGGATTTTTTGATATGGAAGCTCAAACTATGGAAAAAGGAAGACGGAAAAGAGAGACGGTTTCTTGCCGTGAGTATTATTGTTACAAATTCCAGATAAGAGAGGATGAAAAAAATGAAGTCCTACATTATGCAAGATTATTTCAATAATTCATAGTAGATGTGTTCATAAAGCTAGAAACACAAAGATTAGATTTTTATTTTTTTAATCAAGATTTGTTTCGAATAGATGTGCTACAAGGACTTATTGATTTTTTAAGACTTGGGGAAACAGAAGCTTCCAAGATTGGGAAGAAAATATTCCTCCCTGTTACTTTTATAGGAGTGCCAAGAGATATGCGTCGACGGTATATGGATGCTATTGCATTAGTGCAACGTTTTGGAAAATCTGATATTTTTTTAACTATGACATGTAATCCGTCTTGGCCAGAAATAAAACAGCACTTGTTATCAACGGATGAAACTCAAAATAGACCTGATTTAGTATCGCGAGTATTTAGAGCAAAAGTAGAAGAACTAAAAGCAGATATCTTGAAAAGAAAAATCTTTGGAAAAGTTGTTGCTTTTATGTATACTATAGAATTTCAAAAACGTGGTCTTCCGCATGCTCATTTTCTTATCATACTTAGTGATGAATACAAATTATTAACACCTGAATCTTATGATAAGTTTGTTTGTGCTGAGTTGCCTGATCGCAATACCAAAGAGCACCTTTATTCACGCGTGCTTCAGTATATGATGCACGGACCGTGTGGTGATTTAAATCCTACAAATTCATGTATGGGAAAAGGGGGGCTTTGTAAATTTGATTATCTAAAAGATTTTGCTGACCAAACATCAAAAGAAAAGAATTCGTATCCAATTTATAGAAGACGAAACACAGGCGAACTTGTACATATAAGGGAACAATATCTGGACAATTCATGGGTTGTCCCATACAACCCTTACTTACTTTGTAAGTTTGATTGTCATATGAATATTGAAGTTTGTTCTGATATTAAAGTTGTAAAATATATTTATAAATACATTTGCAAAGGACATGATAAAATTGCTTTTTCTATACATAACAATGAAGAAATAGATGAAATAAAAGAATATCGATCTGCTAGATGGGTAACACCCCCTGAAGCGGCATGGCGTTTATTTGGTTTTCCTATTAGTGAAATGACTCCGAGTGTTTATCATCTTCAATTACATTTAGAAGGGCAACAATTTGTTTCTTTTAAAAGTAGTGAAACTGTTAATAGAATTCTAAATAATCCGATGATTAGAAAAACAATGTTGACCGGTTTTTTTGCTATGAATGCAACTGATGAACATGCTATAGCTATGCAATTATTGTATAAGGAATTTCCAGAATATTTTGTATGGTCTCCAGGATATAGAACATGGACACGTCGCCAAAAACGTAACGTAATCGGACGTGTTGTAACATGTCACCCAACAGAAGGAGAGAGGTATTATCTCAGGTTATTATTGATGAACGTGAGAGGACCTAAATCATATGAAGATCTTCGCACCGTTAACGAGGTACCCTGTAGTACATTTAGAGAATCAGCAGAAAAAAGAGGATTATTATATTGTAACAACAGTTTAATTGAATGTATGTCGGAGGCTGTAAGCTATCAAATGCCATATAGCTTGAGACGTTTATTTGTGACATTGTTAATATATTGCAATCCTGCTAATCCAAAAACATTATGGGAAATGTTTGAAGATTCAATGTCCGAAGACTTTAAACATTTCTCTGGTTTTGAAGAAAAAGCTGTTCGGCACAAGGTTTTAAGCCATATCAATGATATTTTGTACTCTATGGGACATGGCATAAATGAGTATAAGCTTATCTAGAGAAGATTAGACCTTCTGAAATTGCAAAGGATGCAAAGGATGTTCATTTTGAAAGAAATATATTTGTTAGTGAACAAGACTTGCTCTTACCGAAGAGACTGAATGTTCAACAATTACGCGCATATAATACAATAATTGATAGAGTATTCTCTGGAAAACAAGGAGCTTTCTTCATCGACGGTCCTGGAGGAACAGGTAAAACTTTTTTATACCGTGCACTATTGGCAACTATCCGATCTCAAGGATTTATAGCTTTAGCAACTGCAACTTCTGGTGTGGCAGCTTCTATCCTTCCAGGAGGACGGACTGCTCACTCACGGTTCAAAATGCCTATTGATATAGATGATAATTTTTGCTGCAACATTAGTAAACAAAGTTCAGTCGCACGTTTAATTAGAGATGTAAAATTAATTGTATGGGATGAGGCATCAATGGCAAAAAAGAATATGATTGAAGCTCTTGATGCACTTCTGAGAGATATTATGGACGCCGATACAATGTTCGGTGGTAAAGTTGTTTTATTTGGAGGTGACTTTAGACAAACTCTACCAGTTGTTCGAAATGGAAAAAAAGAAGATTTTATTCACGAAAGCTTATTGTATTCTAAAATCTGGAATAAACTTGAAAAATTGTACCTATCTGAAAATATGCGCGCAAGAACAGATCCTTCTTTTTGTGAATATTTACTCCGAATTGGAAATGGAACAGAAAGAACTAACTGTGAAGACAAAATAGAGATTCCTGATTCCTTTGTTATTCCTTTTACGACCGAAGAAGAATCCTTAGATGCATTGTTTAGTGTAACGTATCCTGATTTGCATGCATTTTCTCCTGATTCATCTATGATAACTTCTCCTGTTATTTTAACAACGAAGAATGACTTTGTAAACGAACTAAATAATATGTTAATCACTAAATTCCCAGAAATGTCTAAAACATTTGTTACAGTAGATGAAACTATTGAACCGAATGATCAAAGTCAGTTTGAAGATTTTCTACATAGTTTAGATCCTCCCGGTTTATCTCCTTATAAGTTAACTTTAAAGAAAAATTGTCCAGTTATATTATTACGAAATATGAATCCTTGTGAAGGTTTATGCAACGGCACACGGTTGACATGCTGTCACTTTAGAACACATGTCATAAGTGCAAAAATTGAAAGTGGTGATTTCAAAAATACACATGTTTTTATTCCGAGAATACCATTGTTAATATCACAAGATGAAAAAATACCTGTTCAATTTAAGCGAACACAATTTCCCCTACGATTGTGCTTTGCTATGACCATAAACAAAGCTCAAGGTCAAACATTAGATTTTGTTGGAATTTACTTACGTGAACCTGTTTTTTCTCATGGTCAACTTTACGTTGCTTTATCAAGAGCCAAAAGTGCAAACTGTGTTAAGATACTGATTCAACCATCTACAGCAGACAGTAATGATGATCATTCAACATATAATGTCGTCTACGACGAAACTATTCAGAAAGCTTGCTCGTAGGAAACCTAATGATCTTTAGCTCAACAATGAAAAAACCAAGTTTTTAACTCCGCCTGTGTTTCAGTTACACTATTGCACCACAGCCGGTCCCAAGCCCGAAAAAAGGAGGAGGGTTTACTGTTTATCTATGCTTTGCAATTCTAAAATGCAGGATGATTAGTTAAGCAACATACATTGGATCTTCCAAAACCAATAAGGTATATCTGTTTCAAGGTTCTTCCAAGTTACTTTATTACAATTCTTTTCCCCATTCTATGTGCCTTTAGTCGCAGTTATTTCTTTTATGATTCTATATTTAGCCAACAAAAATTTTGAGTTGGACCAAATAGGTTGCACGTGAGGCATCATCTCACCAGCAAATCAATTATTTGGACATGACGCTTACATAACAAGCACCAAACATGTTACAAGGTCGGTAGGTTCAGTTATTATTTCCTGTTTCATATCTTGCATCAGAAATATTTAGTGTAGATTATCCAGAGCTCAAACGCGATATTGGTTGTTTTGAGTATCATGAATCGTTTCTGTTTCTCTTCAAAATTCAATCTTTGAATTTAAATCTACTAGATACGAAGATATCAATTTCATGTTAAAAGTTGCTCTATACTTCTAATCATTTCCTTTCTGTTTTTATAAATTAACTACCTTTTATTTCGTGGTAATATTTTTTTTCCGCCAAGTTTATTTTTTGCTATTTGAGGAATAATAATATAGTGAAAGTGAAGAGTGCTTACCCTTTGCCATCGACTCTTTCCCCTTCTATTCCTGGTTACCACCTTTTTTTCCCAGTATTCATATTGATTTCCCTTTTTTTGCCAATCTACACTATAAAAATCAGTTGTATTTTTCCCATCTCAACTGAGTCAATGTTTGAAACCTGCAAGTGAAATCACTGGTCAGTGTGAGGAGGCAAAGAAATGTTCTCTGTAGGGGTTGTCATGGAAGAGGCACAATTCTGCCCAAATGGAAAAAACTTTTACGCATTTGCAAAAAGTTCTTTCTGAATGAAGGATTGTAATTTTCCAATTTGATAATAACATCCTTTTACTAATTGTCTTCTTTTCCTTTTCAAAGGATCCAATTTCCTATGAAAGATGGTTATTTATTTCTACCCAGCTCGCAGGAATATTCAAAATGTTAAATAACAATTTACGCTTACAGCTTTTCTGGATTTACCTTTGGGATGCTGAAGTACACGCTTTATTCTATGTTTGGTTGGACAGAAATAGGAGGGTCGGAGGAGTGGAAATAAATGTGGAGGATAAGCGTTGTTTGCCACATTTCGAGAAGCAACTGAGAGAGAAGCCGAAGTAAAAGAGGAAGGGATGGGAAATCCTGCATGCCTACTTACTCATTCGTTCGAGTCGACTAGAAGTAAATTATGGATACTTCAACTATGTAAACCACTCATTACTCTCTTGTTTTACTGTTACCTTTCATTTCCTGCAACAAAACATAATATTAATCAAATTGGTATTAAATCTGTTAAATTACATTAGAGTGAAACTCGGATTCACATGTTTTAATGGTACTGTAATGAATTGTCATAATATCAAAGCCTTACATCTCCTAATGTTTTGTCTGGAATAACTCAGTTTTTTGGTTCAGTGCAACGTCTGGATAACGTAGATGACCGAAAGACTCTTTGATATCGATTATTTTTCCATTGCATCCACTCTTATTTTGCCGGATTAAGGATAGGTTTTCCCAAGAATCTGTCACTAGATAACATTTTAGAAGTGTTAGCTGCAGTACCTACTATCTCCTTTCCAATGTTAACATCCTCAGCAACTTTATCAAATCTCTTATGTAATACTAGGTAAATTACCTAACATTCCACCTCATTATGACCTTGTTTCTTGCAAGTCTTGCAATACTTAGGCATATAGTCATATTTAATCTTAATCCACTTAAATTCTTCAGGTCAAGATTCATCTGCCTCTTCAACTATTTTAATACGCTGTGGAAATTTAGATAGCAAGTTAACCTCCACCTTCACTTTTGCACAGCTAGGTCTAGTGCCATTTTGAGTTACAAGATCAACATGTAATGGATTACCAACAACACTTGCCAATGAAAATACACATTCCTTACTAAATAAATTGGGTGGCAACTCCGAAAAGCTAATCCAAGCTACATCAATAGGAGTCTCCTCATCAGGTGTCCACTATGGGTTCTGATTGCTGCCGACTCGACACTACACTAAGGTAGGAAGAGCGGGTCGCAATAGCTTTTACCCGAATAGTGGTTCGGGATCGAATTTCCACAGGGAGCTAGTAGTGGAGTTGTATTGTCTGTCTAGTTGCTTGTAGAGAGAGTGATTTTGCCCAATTGACTCTCTCGAGGCCAATTGGGTAGGCCAATTAGACCAAGCAACTAGGGTTCAAGTAGGGTGATTATTCTCTCGAAGTTTAACCCGTTAATTGGGACTATCATTTCTCATGGGTCCATCCCAATTCCTTGTTGGGTCAATTTTGGGGTCATGGACTCTCTTTCTCAAGAAGAGTTAAACCCATAAAGCTAGAATCAGTGTTTGCAACCACCAATCCTTAATTAAAACCTAAAATCAACCCAAATAACAAACACCCAATATCAATCTAGCCTTAGATGGAAACACCCATCAATTACCCACACTAGAGTTGAGCCACAACCCTAGCTAGTGAGTTTAGCTACTCATGCTAGATACAGAAATTAAAGAAATAGATGAAGAAGTAAGCATATTAATTAATTGCTAGGAAGAAAATACAATATTGAAGAGCAAAAGTGTCAAAAATGGCTAAACTATTCGGTCTCACGAGCTCAGCTGCGTTCAGAACATAAACTTGACCTAAAAATGGAAAAAGGTCCTATTTATACTGGGCTAGAAAAACTGGACAAAAATACCCCTGCGGGGTCAGCGCGGACCGCACAAACATGACCGCCGCCACACTGGCTCTTGAACTCTTGGTTTCTTCTTCTCTGAAGTTGAGGACCGCGGACCGCGTGAAAATATAGCGCGGCCGCGGTGGAAGTTGGCGCGGCCGCATAAAAATGAACGCGGGCCGCTTTGCTGGGAAGTGGTCAAATTTTTGACTCTCTGAATCCCTGCTCCGCGGACCGCGTAAAAGAGTAGCGCGGCCGCGGAGCCTGACCGCGGACCGCGTGCAAATGACCGCGGCCGCGTAGCCTTCCCCTTGAATCTGCCATCCTCTGAACCTCCTAGTGCGGCCGCGTTCACACTTGTGCGGTCCGCACTAGGTCCTCTTTTCCTCAACTTGCTTAGTCTTTGACACTTTAGCAGGTTTCACTCCTTTTTGAGCCGATATTTGACATTCGTCGCTTTGTCGATCAAACCTGCAATCAAGTACAACTTGTGAGCATTTTGGGACTATTTTGTAGCAATTTTTAACCAAAGCATAGGCAAGTAGGGGCATAAAACACGTTAAGATCCTAACTTATCAACTCCCCCAAACTTAAGCCTTTGCTTGTCCTCAAGCGAACAAAATAAGACCCACCCGTTAAAGGAAAATCCAAGTAATTCCAGCCATCCTAAGGTAACCTCAACAAGCATCAATTGGGACTAACAATTGCCCTCAATACGAATGTATCATTAACACATTTAAACTTTTGAAGAACAATGGATCAAGTGTGTCACAAGAGCATCAAGAGTTGACACATTTCATCAAAGAGCTTATCTCAATTACTTTGGTCATTGTGGAACCCAAACTCACACATCCTCAACTCTCCCTAAGCGAACCCCACCTTTTAGAGTATTAAGACACAAACCAAGGTTAATGGGGTTTCACTCATCTCTCTCAAGAAGAAGGTCACAAGTCCGGCTCTAGGTACCATATGCTTGCCCCTTATGTAAGTATCCACTAATGTAGGTTTCCTTCAACTCAAGATCCTATAGGGCTTTTGTGGAGTCATTATGAAGGCTTTTGGGTAAGGTAGGACATGTTTTATTCAAGTGGGTTCAATCTTCCCTTAAGCACTTCTTTTGATTTATTATGGCACAACTCTCTTGACTCTTTTGAGTATTTCACTTCTTTACAAGGGGTTAGAGAGACACATTGTCACTCTTTCTTATGCAATTCAAAACATTTCTCCTTTTCTACTTTTTCCACACCTTTTTCACTTTTGTTTCCTTTGAATCCCTTTTTATTCTTGTTCACTTTGGACTTTCTTTTTGTCTTTTTCTTTTCATGCTTTTTCATTGCCTTCCTTTTTCTTTTGCTTTTGTACCTTTCTACCACTTTGTTTCCTTTCTTGTCTCTCCCCCCAAACATAGACATTTGCCATTACTCAAGGGAAGATTTGGGTGCCAAGAGAGGGTAATCATTTAGAACGGGTATAGGCTTGTAGCATTGGTTCTCGAAAGAAAAGGCTTAAGGCTCAAAAGGGTTAAATAGGCATCATCTTTTTGGTAGGCTATGGAATTGTTCAACTTAACATTCGGATCAAGGTGAGCCTATAATCACTTCTCAAGTCAAATTTCACCTAGGATTTCGCCTCAACAAATATTCAGGGCGAGTTCTAGACCATTGGCTCGGGACTTGGACTCACAATTCGATTCCTCACCACGCATGCTAGGGGATTGCTAATCGAAACCTACATTAGTGGTCCACAACGAGTCGAGGGCCCACAACGACCTTAGTTACGATTTAAGCACACAATGGTCCNTATCTACCTCAATCCCATGCTTTGAAATCTTGTGGCCTAACATTATACCTTCTTCAACCATAAAATGGCATTTTTCCCAATTGAGAACGAGGTTAGTTTCTTCACAACGGGCCAAGACTCTATCAAAATTTACCAAGCATTCATCAAAAGAGTCGCCAACCACACTAAAGTCATCCATAAAGACCTCCAATATGTCCTCCACCATATCGGTGAAAATAGCCATCATGCAACGTTGGAAGGTCGTCGGAGCATTGCACAACCCGAATGGCATCCGGGAGAAAGCAAATATACCATAGAGCATGTAAAAGTAGTCTTCTCTTGGTCCTCCGGGGCGATTA